CGCGAATTTTGTGAGGAAGAGGGTATAAGAAAACTGTGGTGGCCACCGATGTCTCCAAATATGAATGTGATCGAGCATGCTTGGCACATGCTAAAACGCCATATTGCCAAAAGGAATACCCCGTACCTTAAAGTCCCCCCGTACCTTAAATGAATTTATTTATTTATTTATTTCATAAACGCCAGAGGCATTCAACAAAAAATACAATTTGAATAGATAATAGATAATACAAAAATTATACAAAATACAGAAATAATAGATTCCATATACTAACAAAATAATAATGAGAAAAAAATAACAAAGGCCAAGCCTAGTCTACAATTCATTCTTGAAAACAATTACATTTCTAGCACGGTTTTTAAATATACTTAAGGAATTACTAAAATAATCCAAGTCGTACCCATTCACACTTCTGGAAATTCTATTTGCAGGGCAATTTTGTGCATAAAAAGTTGAATATGTTCTTAAGTGCAGCAACGATTGTGACCTCAGATGTCTTGGAGCAATGTGAAAGTCGAAATTTGCCAAACAATCTGGTGAATCGATACGATTCGATATTAGTTTGTAGAAAAAACATACAGCCAGATAATCCCATCTAAGCTCCAACTTTTGGAAGTTTAGATACTCTGAAGTCTCAATCATATTCAACAGAATGTTATTCTTACTAAGGAAGAAATTCATATATTTTAAAAACTTTTTCTCAATTTGGAAAAATCTACTTTTATGTGTTTCATAATGTGGCATCCAGATTATGGAAGAGTACTCTAGTGATGATCTTACTAGGCTGTTATATAATGTTATTACTGAGGACGGGTCTAAAAAATCTTTGGTATTTCTAAAAATAAACCCCAAATTCCTGTTTGCCTTCGATATTAAATTGTCATAATGGTTGTTAAAATTTAATTTGTAGTCAAGCGATATTCCAAGATCCTTAACAGTGTACACTCTGATTAAGTTGGTGTTATTAATAGTATACGTTACATCAAACTTACTTTCGCCCCTAATAAAAATAATAAAAGAGCACTTATTAATGTTTAGTTTGAGTTTATTGTCCACACACCAGTCATTGAGTAGATCAATATCACTCTGCAGTTCCATAGAGTCTGAAATAGTTTTTATGTCCCGGTAAATCTTTAAGTCGTCTGCAAATAATAAGTATCGCTAGTAAAATTATTTCCTATATCGTTTATAAAGATACTAAATAAAATTGGTGCAAGATGGGAACCTTGCGGTACTCAGAGAAAACTGCATAATGATTGGACAAACTCCCCTTTACTTTCACTTGCTGGGTTCTGCCTGTAATGTACGATTTAAAAAATCACATAAGGGACTACGAATACCATAGGCATGTAATTTTACTATTAGAATTTCGTGATCCACTAAATCAAAGGCTTTACAAAAATCAGTGTATATTGAATGGACTTCGGTTTTATCGTTCATAGATTGCAGAACAAAATTTACGTATGGAAACATGTTCGAAGCCGTAGATCTGCCTCCAAAGAAACCATGCTGATTAGTTACAATAATATTTTTAAAACAATTAGTTAATGTTGGAATTAACATTTTTTCAAGTAATTTTGGAATGGCAGACTGAATGCATATTGGACGATAGTTACTGATGGATGATTTGTTGCCGGATTTGAAAACTGGAGTGACAAAGGAATGTTTCCAGTCAATTGGAAATGCCCCAGTAGACACACAGCGATTAAAAATAAAACATAGAGGTTCACAAAGGCTTACTGCACATTCTCTTAAAAACAGATTGGGAAGACCATCAGGTCCAGGTCCTTTGTTGATTTTTAAACTTAACATAGTACTGAGCAGATCATCATATTTAATTTCAATATTAGATAGGTTAACATCGATTTCAGAGGTAAATGTATTTTGCATATTTGAATTTTGACTTGACTTATAGACATTTCCAAAGTAATCCGCAAACAGATTGCTAATTTCCAACTTATCATATGCAACTTTATCGTCCCAGGTCATTTTGTAAGGTAGCTCCTGACAATAGTTGTTTTTATTTTTAATGAAATTCCAGAATTGCGATGAGTCAGACTTAATACTCTGTTCAGCTCCTTTTACGAAATTGTTATAACAAGTCTTACTTTTAAATTTACAAATTTCGCGCAAAGATGAGAATTCATAGTAATAATGTTCATCTAATGTTTCCTTATATAGCTTATGCATGGTCTTTTTCTTTTTGATGGTATTAATTAAGTCTTTATTAAACCATGATGGAAAGGTACTTTTTTTTAAACAGTATTTAGGGATACACTTCTCAATTACATCATATACAATTTCGTAGAAAACCGACATAATTTCGTCAATATTTTTTAAATTATAAATCACTGTCCAATTTATATCTAATAACATATTATTCAATTGTCCATAATTCGCTTTTTTAAAATTATAGAAATATTGTTCTTTATCAGGACACACTCTTGATGTTGTTTCTATAGTTAGTCCTATTGCCGGGTGATAAAAATCTTCATTTACGAGGGGAGTACATTTATTAACTGTTGTTTGAATGTTAGTTAGACAGAGATCAAGTATGACACCAAAAGTGTTTCTAATATAATTTAATTGAAATAATCCTAAAATTGACAACTCATCACAAAAGGCAATTTCTTTTAAAGAAGTGGCATTTTTTGCACATTCGTCAAGAGGATCCCACTGTAAATTCGGTAGATTATAATCTCCGAAGATACAAGTTTTACAGTTAGTATATTTACTCATAATATGACTGACGTCTGACATATGATTTGTGTAACTTTCTAAAGGAGAGTTTGGTGGTATATAAGTACAACCAACTATGTATTGACAACGGTTATATGTAAAATGAATAAAAACTTGTTCAACATTATTGTTTGTGGAAGATGTTTCCACAGCATTAAAAGTGTTCTTACATGCTATTAGGACTCCCCCTCCGCGATTTTTAGAGCTTGTAGTGCTGCTCCTATCTTTCCTGAATACGGAATATGAAGAGTCCACCAATTCACCATCGTTAAAATTTTCGTTCAAACCACTTTCACTCACACAAATAATATCATAATCCGAAATTGCAACTGATAACAAAAAGTCCCTGCACTTGGTGCGAAGGCCGCGAACGTTTTGATAACAAACTGAAATTGATTCTTTATTGCCACCTCCGCCATTCAAAAATTTGTCTTCTCAACTATCCTAGGACTGCCATTCACATATTTGATTGTTTTGGTTGAACATCCTTCTTCTTGCAATTTTCTTAAATCCTCTCTCACCTTTCTCAAATGTTCCTGCTGCATCCTCGTCAAATCAGACTTGAAACTTGGACCAGAATAATTTTCTAATAATGGTTTGCTACGAACAAGTCTCAGTGCATCCATGGAAGAGTTCATTATAACTTTTACTGGTCTTATCTTTTCTTTATTGAATCTTCCTAAGCGAAAAGTTTTGATATCATCTGTATTAAGCTCTACGTGTTGAGATATAGCTGTAATAATTCTATCACGATCTTCTCGGTCTTTATCCTCTTTACTTGCTTTGTTAGACTCGGGTAATTTAAAGGCTATTACGTTGTGTTCTCTTCGCTGTCTCTCATGTAGTTCCTGGATTATTTCTTCGGTGAGTGGTGGGTTCTCAAGGTACTGCTTGTTCAATTCAGAAATTTTATCATTAAGTGATTTATTTTCTGCTCTAAGTTGGCTATTCTCATGTTTTATCAACTCTAAGCTATTCACTATAACCTCAAGTTTCCTCTCCATCTCGTTTTTAAAGGGCAAAAAGTATTTTTGAAAGAGCAATTCCATTCGATTTACTTCCGGATCCTTGATTTCCGTTCCATTTGCACTGACTTCCTGTTCATCTAGTATAATACTGACATCATTTTTAAGGCAAATAGAACAGACCCACTATGGTTCCGTTTTTTGTACTGCTTGCTAACTTTGAAAATTCTTCAGAAGATAAATCGGTACACTTCCTGTGGGTCCACTTTTGACAGTGACTGCATTTAATTGCTGGCGAATTCGTTCTGATAATTTCCTCACAAACATTACATCGATCAACTGGAGCCATAGATACCTTTTAAATCTCCCTGGTAATACCAAGCAAATATCTGCGTGCGGTTTAGACGAAGTTTTTGCTGTGAGAAAAAAAAGCGCACATGAAATTCCAACGTGCGGCACTCGAAAAAAAGACTTCGATATGTGGACGAGTAAAAACTTCCAGGCGATCAGAAAATAATAAAAACGTTAAAAAAAATGCTCGAGAGAACGACTGTACCGAACGACTGTTAAGACTAAACTGAAAATTGAAAATTGCTGCGCGCCAAACATGGGAAGCCATTCCTCAACATCTTCTGGACAACTTAATTGAGAGCATGCCACGTCGCGTCGTCTCACAGCTTGCATTGAGGATCGAGGAGGCAATACAGACTATTAGTTGTGAGAAATAATTAAAATTGTTTTCAATATGTTCTGTTTAAAATGAAATTTGTTTTTGTTGATTTTCAATCATTATGAAATAAAAATATAATAACAGCCTAGTTGCACTTAGATTTTTAATTTTATGTTAGTTAGTCGTGTAGTAAGCCAATATGTCCAAAAATATAAAAAGAATCATATTAGGTCAAAAGTCAATCATATTAAGTCAAAATAAAATAAAAATAACGTTATATGCAATAATTTTGGCCATGTGTGTATGTTAAGTGATAATAGTTTATTACATACTAATGATGGGCAAATGCAAGACCTTGACTTCCTTGGTCTTGGTCTGCAGGAAGACCAAGACCAACACTCCTGCAAGTTTTGAATTTTTAATACATCTTTACTAGAGACACTTTCTACTAGAAAATCTTTAAATAAATAGTATTTCTAGTAATTTAATGCAAATAAAACTTATAGAGAATTAGATATTTGCATATTTATCTGATGAAAATTATTATTTCTCAATATAGTATTATATTGAATAACCCTTTCTGGCAACCAGGCTTTAGTAAAAAAAAGTAATTGTTTGTTTTCCAGATATAAAGGCAGCGTTGCCACTGTTCGTGTTTTTTCTGCTTACCGGCGAATGCGGTGGTGCCATAGCAGGCGCTCAGGAATCTCTGTCTCCTTGTCCGGTGTTTGGAGAAGATAGATGTCGTTGCACTCCAGATTTGCACGAGTTTCAATGCAGAGGAGCCGGGTTCACTACCATTCCAGATTTGCCATACTCCATTACTAAACTGTAAGTAATTTGACAAGCTTTTAAGTATAAACTGTATGTATAAAAAAATTAGGATGTAAAATTTTAGACAAATTGGGTCAAGTGGTGTAAAAATGAGACACGCCCTATATAGGTAAAAAATGAGACATTTAAATTAAACTACTAAAAACTTATATTCAGTCAGTTTTCTTCTTCGAAACATTTAACAATTGTTAATAGATCATCTTCATAATTTGTTTAATTTTTGTGTGATGAATCATGGAAAAATAGAAATGACAAATCCGTGGTCTCGTTTTGAGGTTTAAATTTTTTTAAACTGACTGCCAGAAAGCGTTCGGCTCCTATCGTCGCGTGACGCTAACTCGTGTGTCGCGGCCTTGAATTTTTACTCCGATCGCGCGTAAAGAAGTTTCACTTCAAAAATGTAAATAAACCAAACAAATACCGGGTGCGTCTCAAAAGTGGCTCTTTTTTTATTATTATAAACTGTTTTATTTTTTCAGATAAAAAATAGATTTTTGGTATGTTAGTATGTGACATAAATTAGGATTGATTGACGTATTCGATGGTTTTTGGTAACTTCCTGTTTCACCGGAAATGACTACAACTTTTGATTTTTAAATAGCACCCTTGGTATTTTTTTTACTTTATTCGATAGAAAATGACATTCTGAATAGAATGACATATCGTATGTCAACTTTCGACATTCTTGCTTAATAAAAAATCGTATTTTAAATTTCAATCTAGAGTGCCATGGCCCCTGTGTTAAAAACATTAATTTTTAATCAAGGAGCTTTGGAAAATAGATTTGATCGTCTAATGTCTTGTCCTGGCCGATAAAAATGCCTAAATCGTATTTTTAATCATATCTCAATTTTTTCAAACGGAACGAAGGTGACTCATTAGCATATTTTGAAAAATCATTTTTTTACGAATAATTTGATACCACATACTTTTTATTTCGAGTCAAATTTTCCTTACGGACCAAGTTATAATTTTAAATAAACCATATGCAAAAATGTCAAAAGTTGACATATGATATTATGTCATTCTATTCTGTTATTTTTATCGAATAAAGTAAAAAAATACCGAGGGTGTCATTTAAAAATCAAATGTTGGAGTCATTTCCGGTGAAACAGGAAGTGACCGAAAACATATACTAACATACCAAATCTCGTTTTTTTAACTGAAGAAATAAAAAAGTTATAGGGGTGAGTCAGTTTTGAGACGCACCCGGTATACACATTTTTTTTAAATGATACAAATTTAGTCAGTGACGGAGATGTAACTTTAATATATTATGCAACCAAAGCTTTTCATATTGATAAATCAATACGCTCTATATATTATAAAGAAACTATAGTTAATGCGATAAAAATAATGTTTTAAAAAATGACATTGTTTTAAAATTACCACCATCAAAATCATTATTAACATTAGCACATATCACACAAGTCCTGTCACATACCTGGAAACTATCTGAACTACCCCGGTATAATTGAACAGTTTCCTCCAAAATCAGAGTATAGAGCATACAAACAAAATTACGTAAAAAAACGAAATAACTTTTTAAAAGGTAATTTATTTACCATTTAATTAACTTTTTTAACGCGCATTTTCTGAAATTCCAATTAAAAACCGGTCATAAATTTTGCAGAATCTAATACGAATTTATTTTGAGATTCCACCATAGAAGTATAAATTGAGACGAACTCATTTGAACCGAAATTTGGTAGAATTTTCGCCAATGCTTGGCACGTGCGGACTTAAATCAATTAATTTATTTTTATTTTTTATTTCCAATTGCAAGACTCGTTTCTTTTGAAGTATGTCTTCACAGAGTTTATTTTTATCAATAAATTGGTTAATACAGACTTTTTGATTAATTTTTGGTTGTGTGACATAAATTTATGAAACGGCTGATGTTGGGTAAATGTTAGTGGAATTATATTTAGCTTAAATCAAAATAAAAATTGAAATAGTTAGGGGAATATATAAAAACAGAAGGAAAAAATTAATCAGCAAGCCCTCAACAAAAGAACTTGAAGAAAAATGTGGGTCGATCTCGGCATACGGTTATTTATATCCCGTAGGACGACAAAAACAAATTTCTGCTGATCCCAAAAGTATTTTTCATTAGCCAGTATATCCGAATTTGAAAAAGGAATAATTTTATTTATGATAGTGCAAGTTATAGTGCTGTTTGAAAAGATGGACTTTTCTCCATATTATTTCAAACATATGAACCCATACAGCACATCAAATCACATTTACGATGTGTTTACATTATTAGATGTAGACACAGGGTGACACAATTCCCCCGATGTAAATACGCTACGTTTACACATTGTAGTTCAACACGTATGCACAAAGGTTAAACGTCCGCCTCACAATGTAGCCACAGTATAGCATTTACGTATACACAAAGTAAGGGATACACAGTGTGCCCTAGGATACACAGTGCTTGTGTATTACGTTTAAACTATGTTTACACATTGCAGTTGTGACTACCGCGTGTATACGTATGTATTTTGCTTCGTATATACATCTTGTGCTAGATAAAACTACTTCTTATGAACGAATTTAGGAAATAATACAAGTTTTGATGCCTAAGTTTTCGTTCTTTTTAAGAAATATTTATTCAATGGTACCAATTATATCTTTTTAGAACGAAAATTAGGAAGGCAAAACTTTGTACTTTCCAAAAGTATCTCGATCGTAAGTTCAAGAGAAGTAGCCTTAAAATTGTTCCATTTTTGTTTTGTATTAAATGTACCATTTTTCTTCCATAAAATGGATTAAGTATTTAAAAAATAAAATTCTTATATTTCTTTATATCATGGAACGCAATAGCGCAAATAACACAATAATAATAATTATTTACACTGCAGACACCAGAAGAAAGAAAACACTGTAAAAGAACAGAATTTGTATCAAAATGTATTAAAAATATAAGTACCTAGAATAACAACATACTAAAATAGTAAACACTGGTATATCGCCACGATTTGGTGGACCTCGTTTAGTCATTTTTTCTCCTCTTTTCCCTCCAAGCAGTTGGTTTATTAGCATACTCATTCATCGAGCACTCTGTTGGACTTAGTTGTATTTTATTTTCACATTAACAATCTCACCCTTAAATTTTATATGAACTGATTATTGAATATTAAACATATCTGTATATTGATCCATCAATAACTTACCGAATATCAGTGTAAGAAGTTCTTTGAAGTGTTTAAATCTTTCTTTCTCTGGTCCATTTAGATTTGTATTATTTCCAAATTAAAAAAAATTATATTGCAGAGCTAACTCAGCTAACCTCTTTATCATTATACGAGAATATTTAGAGTTTTCATTCACTGGAGTCAAAATTTGGTAAATTGGGTATCGAGTAAAGGAAGAGTCGCTGCTATAATATTAATAATACTCTTAGGAAGGTGTAACAAGATAATTAAAAACTTGTACTTACCTTAAAATCTCTTTTAAACTACACACAAACAGAACATTTATATAGAGCTTCCGAATGATAAAACAATAATGGCTGCTAACACATACCACTCCTAGAAAGGAGAAAGGAGAGAGGACACATAAGATACACTTGGTCGGTGTATCTACGCAGAGGCTATCCGCGCGTGCGCACACCTTCATTTCATGCTAGAATGTAGACACAACAGTACACTATTACAAAGTGTCTATATAGATATTTATATTATGTGTATACGTCACGTTTTGACAAGGTGTGTACTATAGGCACAACTATGATACGAAGTACTCATATACCGACGTCAGATTTCATCATTTTAATAATTATTTGTTACGTTACAAAAAACTTTTTAGAATCTTGAGTGCATACGGTATACAACTAGTAAACACTATATCACACAATTCTATCAATATAATCCTGCGTGTATCTCATATGTATATGTTAGAACTAGATGGACACTTAGGTTCACTTTAACATATTTTGTTTCTCATGTGTCTCCCTTGTAGAAACGTAATTTCATTTGGACGTGCTATATGGGAAAATTGTGATTGAACTCTTACTAAAAAATCGGTGTGTTGTTATTTTATAATGGTATTGTTGAAAACACTTTATAATGGATTTTGGGACTTCAGAAATGTAGATCTTAAATAAATTATTATTTAAGGTGGCTACAAGTTCGAAAAATATAGGTTTTGGTAAATGTGTCTAAAAAGTAATTATTTTGATAAACATCATAAATTTAAGAAGAGGTACAAAAAATGTCCCACCGTTTGCATTTTAGGTTCAAAATTTTACTTAATTTAATTGTCAAAATATCAACATTTTGTTTTCCCTCGTATAATTAACAGATGGGGAGTTTCATTTTTAATTTAAAAAAGATACTAAAAAGTCAAATAATTTGCCTACAAACTGCTTAAAAAATCATCAAAATCGGCCCATTAAAACAAAATATATTAACCTTTAAAATACATCAAAGTTTTAAGGTGTCCATTTTTCGTGCCGGTGAATGTATTTCAAAAATTCTACATTTTAGTCATATACTTTTCTAATGAAACAAACCTTTATTTTTTACTAGAATCCAACAATTAATTAATATATAGGGTGTGCCATTACAAAAAACATAACTTTGATGGGTAATTTATTTTGGGGACATCCTGTAGAACCCTACATAATTTTAGAAAATGCTTTAAATTGACTTACATAAGTTCACAAAATTTCACTTCAATAAAAACTTTTGTTCTCCTTGCAAAAACCGCGTCGTATATGTCGCGCCACCCTGTATAATTCGATTTTAATCAAAATTTCAATGATTAGAATATAAGCAGAATAGCTATAGCTTATGCATTAGATTTATTTACTTTAATAAATTTACTTAGAAAAATAATTCAAAAAATCAAAAAATTAAGAAAGAAATAATTAAAAATTTACTAAAATTACTAAAATAAAAAATTAAAAGCAACGAAAAAAAAATGGGTAAACATTTTAGTATTTTATCTATAAAACACAATACAGAAGGTTTCATATTAATACATTCACA